GAATCTTAAGTAAACTACATCTACAAAAGGTTTAGCTGTTTGGAAGATAGTAAGAAAATGGAGGTCTGTTTTTGCAAAACTCAAGGAAAGAATATATTAGTGAGAGCAGAATACTGGCTGCTCCATTTTGATATCAAAACAATCTATTTATGAATAGGATTAATTATGTAAATACTGAGTAACTCTTCCCACTGACGACAACACCAGTGGAGTTTGGTTAATCTCAAGAACTTTTATAAATTCTTCCACCTCAACTGTAGAAAGGAAAAATGCATGGTTAGACTTCAAGTGGCAGCTTCTCCTAGGTCACAGATTCATCCTACTTGACATTCTATTTAAAAACTTGAATTTTGAAGATACTATGCTCGATAATAGGCCAAACCAGCCAGGAGACTGACAGCATATATACAGGATAAAAGAACAACTAGGAAGGATTATCTTTAGCAAATTTTTCTTTCGTCTTTTCTCTGACTTCTGTTCTACACCCCATTTCATTTATGTTGATGTGCTTCATGGACACAACACACTTTATCGACAAGTGCCTTTTTTTTTTGAACACAACCCTGGATAAAATGCGCTTTTATTAGTCAAGTAAATTTTAGCGAGTTGCATCCATTTCTCCCTTCACAAATTGATAAATTACTATCAGAAAACTGTTCTGAAAGGCCAGCAAGAAAGAAGATGTGACCACTTCGTCTTGTGGCATTCTTTCTCTGTTACAGAGAGGAAGAGCATCTCGGATCTAAGCTTTCACTGCAATGCACTGCACTGGCTGCTCTGCTACCAGCACTGCAGGATCACAGTAATGCTCTCATCGTATTGTTTAGCTTCAGACACCAATTTCCAGGAGAAGACATGAAAGCAGGAATATCTGTGACAGATCCTGTCAAAAGTCAACATATTCAACAGAGGCATCTTATCTACTGAAACACTATATCACAGCATAGCCTGTCTGTAATCTGGTATTCTGTCTCTTGCAACGCCCGTCTGAACGCATCAGAGAGAAGTGCGTAACTTCAGACACACACGTGGATCTGTAGCACTACAGCTTAATAGACCTCTCCTTCTGACTCCCATTGATCGAGCCTTGTGAATTTACAAATAATTATAAACACTGCTAATGCTGGACATGTTCCCACCTGGACTCTGAGGCATTTTTCCCCTCCAAAGATCCCTACAAGTGTTATTTAATTCCCCCAGTGATGTTTTAAATGTGAAATTCGGAAACTTCCCTCTATTCCTACACCACCCACTTTGGTGCTGGTTTACTTCTGGAGGAGTAACTTCACTGCTTTTTAGCAGTGTACCAGTGCCAGAAAATCCTCTGGAAGAGGACTGCGTTGTTCCACCCATTAGACTGGAAAGGCCCTGGACATCTGTGATTCCATGTCAATAAAAACAGTTACATATCAAAGAGGTATGCAAGAACAAATTCACTGGATATTATTAATCATCATTAATTCTGACCATAGACATTAGCTCATCAAATAATCCTAGATCTGGTAAGAACTTTTGTTTGTTCTCAATAAAGGCAAAAATAGTATTTTTATTTACATATTTTAACCTTTTTTTTTTTTTTTAAAGAAAAGTCTTGATTCAGTTTTGTCTGAGTTTCAACTGCAATTGGTAACTGAAAAAAAAAAATGTTGTAAGTTTACGTAGTCTTGGCATTATGTTTTGTCTCTGCACATCAGAAGACCCTCAGGCATATCAGGAGCCAGAAAAAATGCTTTAAATTTTGCATATCAACTCAAGCAAAGGAAACTGTATTTTGTCAGTGACATGAATCAGGCAACACTTCCATCCAAACCAGCAAATCAGAATAACAATGGGGTTTTTTTTATTTGTTTGTTTTAAGATAAATAATCATTATTTGGCCAGCAATAAATTTTTAGCAGGACAAGATGCTTTTGGTATCCATTACTCCCTGCCTTCCTTATCCGACATTTTAAATTGTTTTGAATTTGTGAAGTAAATTCCCTAAGGGCTGTCCTGCACTTTAAGAGACAGATTTTATTAATTGAAGACAACAAATCACTTACAGAAAATAATCGTAACGTAGGAAAGGCCTAGGCAGGGTTCTACTCTGAAAATCTCTTTGTAATTGTAGCCCCTTTAGACAGGCATAATCAATTAGAAGTGGTCTGATTTTAACCAGTTGCAGGCTCATTACATTGCATTCCTGTTTCTGTTGATGAAAATCAGTTTCAGCCCATGGCCTGGAACTCATATACAGCACTTCCTGGGGCCTCTTAGATAAACACATCAAGAAACAGTTTTATTTGGATTTGTCCTTCACCCTTTATTCATTGAAACAACTTTACAAATCAAGATTAAAACAGGGAAAAATTGGCTCATAACCAGAGATACACATATGTGAGTAAGATATTTAATCTCAGAAAAGTATAAAGCTTCAGTTAATAATTATTCCGTACAGAACATTTAAATGTGAGACTCAAAACATTCATTTTTAACTGTTGAGTTTAGTCTTTCTCTTACCGTGTCATGGGACACTCAGGTTCTCCTTAATATAAACATATTACTCCTTCATTTCAGAAGGGCTTCTGCCTGTGATACATAAAATTGTCCCTAATGTATGTTCAAGTTTTCAAAACCGTATTTCCAGTCTAAGTTTCTACTCTCTGTAGATATTGCCTGCAATATATCATTTTAAACCTATATAGGAATGAAACTTTTAAGTAAGACAATACTAATGAACTATCCCTGAGCAGAGAGAGTCTGCAAAAATAATTGCTTTCCTTCTACAGAAGTTTTACCTTACAGCACCCAGGTTTGGAACAGTCCACAACAAGCTTTAAAAAATAAATGACTCCACTACAGTCAGTAATCCAGCCACAGCATGGTGCAGTCGCTCAGGCTCAAAGGGCTATTCACAAGTCAGGGGCATTAAAAAAAAAAAAAAAAAAGGAGGGGCGTTTCCTGGTGTGGAGAAGTCAATAAAAGCCTTTGCAAATGTGCAGCAATAGTTTAAAAATCAAACAGACAAAAACCCCAAAGATAATGGAAATAGGAGAGAGACTGAAAGGAAATGTAATGCCCACTAAATAAGCAAATGAGGAGCCCTCACCTGGAATACTGGCCATTCCTTCATAAAAGGAAATACAAAAATCGAGTTGAAGGGTGAGTGACGAGAATAATCAGAATCAGAGGAAAAAAACTTCATATGAAGAGAATACAGAAACACTGGGATGATTCATACTACAAAGGAGATGAACAGAGGTAGAGCATAATGATTTTTAAAAGTGTAAAAATTAATATTCCAAAGAGGCTCTATCTTTAAAAAAGGAGTACTCAAATGAAAAAGGATGATGAGCCCAAATATGGCTGAAAGGGTTTTTGGGGGGTTGTTTTTGTTTATTTTGTAGATGTAATACACAGCTAGACTTTTTGATTTATTGCAAAGGACAACCACCAAAGCCAGTGGCGTATCAGGATTTAAGAAACTTTATTTTGTATAAATAACAAAAATAAGTAAATACATATTGTAACTAAGAATTATTGATGGTAGATACAGCCTACCCAAAACAAACATTAAGGAGTCAGGGAAAAAACTTATGCCTCAGGCATACTATATTGAAACTGCTTTATATAGGGTGGTTCATTCCTCCCTATAAAGCATGCAGCCCTTACCCAGTCACAAACAGTGGTCAGCACCCAACAGAATGAGACCTATGGTGCAACATCATCTGTTAATTTCCTTTACTGAACCATACATCTTGACATTTGGCACCCATGAGAGAGGAAGACTCTTCAGAGGACATGAAAGATCCGACCCATCTCCAAGAGCCCTCGATCACCCTAGCCATCTTCCTCTGATATAGTGGAACCCACCTGTCACATATTTTCTACATGTCTATGCTTCTAAGGGCTAGATTCTGCATCAACTTATCTGAAGAAGTTAATTTCAGACATGTTCATCACCAACTCATGTTCCTGACAAGTATCACTCTTCATGGGTGTGTGGTATTGCCAGTGCTACCCAAAACTGAGCAGCTATTTGAACTGTGCATTCACAAGAAATCACACAAATAGCAATTATGGAATTAAAATGGAACTACTTCTACCAAAGGGCTAAGCAAAAAAGCAAAAGGAATTAGTTTTCAAATCAAGAGTAGCCCCCAAAACAAGACTATCTGAAATAAAGAACGGTTCCAATGACTTAAATGCAGTGTTAAAATTAGTCATTAAGAATTTTAATGAAATGAAAGAACTATTCTTTAATTGCCTTTCTGGACTGACAAGGTAATTTATTACTCACTTGTTCATAAGAAATGAACAAAACAGGCCCACAAGGAAGCTGATTACAGCTGAACGACAGTTGCCTATACACAGTCACACTTGAAAGGGTATCCCTGCCTCCATACCTTTGTTTTCCTTATTGTTTACAGTATGTTTTGTATTGTTGCAAATAACACTCTGCATCATTAAAACCATTGATAGCTCTGACCGGTCCTTCAAAAACTTCAGAGTGATAAAAAATCAATATTAAAAAAGAAATTTAAAGAAGCTCTCAGTGTTGTTTCTTATAAAACTTCTAAACATGAGAAAACACTGTTTCTCTGAAACACCTTCAGGTGTCTCAGGAGGGAACATCTCTGTGGCTTTCAGGAAAGGTTAAAGTAGAAATATTCCGGGGTTTGGATTTTGTTTGTATTTACAACCTTGGATCAGGAAAACATTTTGGAACACTGGAGGGGATCTCTTTTGTTGTTACACAGTTCTAGGATTAGGAATACTGCAAGATCATTGCTTCATGCTTTGACATGGAGCCGTACCTCATTCTTCTCACCAACAATCCCCAGGACTAGCTCTCACAGAAGGCGGAATAAAGGGCCCTTTTATACAAAGCAGCTAAACGACTCCAGCATTCACTAGATACCATGAGTACAGCTAATATATTATTGTTTCTCCAGATTCAGAGCTCAGAAATTTCCCCACAGACATTCCATCTGATTTATAGAGCAGTACATTTGACTCACCTTGCTTCTGAGAATTCCGCAGGTGAGTACTCAGCATCACAAGGACATCAAGATAGGCAGCTCTGGTCACCAAACAAGGATTTGGCCTAGAAAAATCAAATTACTAAAGATTAAATCCTTATAACATCCATGCTCTGAAACAGCCATGAAATGCACCAGCTTGGTGTGTCTATTTTACTTAACTAATGAAGATCAACTACTGATCAAATTCGACTGCATATACAAAATAATTAGGCCAAGTTAACCAAGCTTCCTGGTCCATTCTGAATGACAGTCTCCCTAGCAGAATGGCAACATCATCCATCCATCCATTCCAGCAAATCGCAGTTTATACATTTCATTATTATTGAATGAATCAGCTTGCCCTGGCAACCAGTATGTCTTTGCTTTGTTTACAGATAATGTGCGTAATTAAATGCATTAACAAAAATAAGTCTTCAGGTCTGATTGTTACAGTTCATAAAAGAAAATTCCCCATGAAAGGTACCTACGACATCTTTTTAATGGCCATAGCGCTCTCACTGTTCTGATGAAGACCACAGAGGCATGCATGTTTTTAAAATTAGCTTTTTCTTTTTTCTCCCAGACAAGAATATTGAGTATTTTGTGTATGTAATGCAAATTGGTAACAAGCTACTTTCTGCTCTACCTCTTCAAGTCGCAAATGATAGACATTTTCTCTCCAATTAGAAAAGTAAAATTAGGTTAACATCTTAATTTTTCTCTATATTGCTATCACTGTATGTTTCAGCCAGGAAAACTTTTCTTAAAATATAACTTAATATGTGAACAAACAGGAAATCCAGTTCAAACACAGAAATTATTCTGATGAGTCCAATGGGACTTGCACTAAAACAAAAACTTTCAGAATCAAGTAGCACAAGCTTAAAGTATGACTAATTCTGTTCAGTATTTCATTTTTATTTTATCTGGCACTTTCTTTGTATGCTTATCTTGATGTTTGAAACGCTTTCAAAAAATTGTTAATTAAAAAATGTTCCAACAAACATTCTCAACTCTGTTACATCTTGAAACTCAAGAAAAAAAACATTTTCAAATAAGATATGTGATCATGAGATAAATATGAAAGGTCTGAGGTTCTTGCATAGAAGTTTGGCAGCTGTATTTGCCTATGGAGAGTTAGTCTATGATCCTGTTAAAAAAGACAACTTTTCCCAGAAACACTGCTCTCGCCTTCAGTAATAAACTCTGTAATAAGCCTAAATAACTTATGCTTACTTTTATGGTCTAAAATATTAGGCATCCACATAACACATAGCAGACTACATACTACCAGGATTTCTCTTTGGCAAAGATTTTTTTTTTTCTTTTGCATGAACAGACTTTTTAGACACTTTCTTACTAATGAAGTAGTCATGAACCTCCCAAAACTTCTCCATGCTTGCTTCTTACCACTTGCCTTAAAGCACAAGAGCTAAAAGCCTGCCTGCAGGGAAAATACACATCAATAAGAACTGATACCATAAGAAGCCAAAGCAATTTTAATATGGCCTATTTTGAAAAGCTGTACTAGGAAGACTTAATTTCTGTCCCGACTGAGCAAACCTCTCTACTTAATCTTGGTCATCCAGTTGTTACTCAAGTTGTTCTTCACAAATCTGTGTGAAAACACCACCAATATTCACAGGGTTAGGAGCTCAACCCACGAGAAAAGAGCGTGACAGATCAGTCAAAGGCTTAGAAGAAAAAGAAACCGAGAGGTCTCTCACAAGTACTCATAAAACGGACGAAAGCAGCCATGACAGATTTCAATTCAGATGAGGAACATAATGGGCCTACTGCACTTCAGCTCCCTTGAAAAACGGAAGATTCACTTATTATGCAGTCATTTCACCGGAAAGAAAATTTCCAACATACAAACTGTGCCTTGGGAAAAACATGGCTGACGCAACCTTTACTGAAGAAGTGACAACAGCAATACTGACAGGGGTTTTTATTCTGGTCCAGCTTTTAAGCATTTACCACTTCATTTTGAGTATGCGCATATGCATGTTTTGATTTTGAAATGAGGCTTTTCTAGCATAAAACATGCCAAACGTTTGTTCTTGGCTGGCTCCATTGCTCTGGTGATGCTAGTGAATTCTCAGCCGTATGTGCCAGACGGACACAACAGGAAATTCAGTTTTCCAAAACCAAGAAACTTCAGTGTTGTTCAGCCTGCAGCAGAAAGCTCAGTCTTGAACACAATCAAACTGTGATTTCTGTAACAGACCTGACAGCCAAAAATCACATGCTGAACATTTCAAGTGATGCACTGCGCACTATTTAAGATGACCTGTTTGTGCAGAACTTCAACAATGAGAGTAGGAAGAGTACAAGATATTTCTTTTTTAACACAGATACCCAAATAAAGTGATGTTCTCATAAAAAAGCTTTAAGGAAATCTGTCTCCAAACAAGAAAGTCACAGCACTAGCAAGGGTGGGAGCTCCAGGCATC